TGACAAATAAAAATAGTGTATATTACTGCATACTGCATGATGTTTTGATAAATGGATACATCGTGAAGTAATTAAGCCAAACTAACATATGTATCACCTCACGTACTTATCATTTCTTTGCAGTGAGAACACTTAAGGTCTAATATCTTAGCAATTTTCAAGTGTACAATGTGTTATTATTAACTGTACTCACCAGGCTGTACCATAGATGGCCAGAACTTATTCATTTTGCATCTTGCATAACAGGAACTTCGTACCCTTTAACCAACATCTGCCCTTTTCTCCCTCTACCCCCAGTTCCTGGCAACTACCATTCCACTCTCTGCCTCCCTCTTGGGATTTAGATTCCAGTCGACTTTTATTTTTGTTTACTTCATTATATGGGAATGTATCATCTGAACCGCACAGTAGCGTTAATCAGAGTATCTAAACTGCCTTTAATCCCAGGTAGGGATTGAGCACATTTTTCTTTCTTTTTGTGGCTGGTCAGTACCGGGATGATGAAGCCTGGACCTCGGTGTAATTAGCACCATGCTCTAAACAACCGAGCTAACCAGCCAGCCCTGACTGACCACATTTTCTTTTCCTCAAAGGACTAACAAGGAGGTTTGCCCTGGTCTTTGGGACATACCTGTGATTAGAGACAGTCACTGTGGACTCCCACTCTCTGTTGCTTGAGGGTCTACATTTCACAGTTTCTAGATGCTTCTTTTTTTAATTTTCTTAAATGAATAGAGAGTTCTGGTCTTTTAATTCTTCCCTATTAAGAAATATAAAATCGAGTAGAGTTAAAAACATGTTCAGCCTTCTCTCTGAAAATTTGCTTTTGCCGTAAATCAGTGTGTTTATTTCCATTCTATGAAGTACAGTGGGTTGTATGAGGCTTTATGTAAGCCAATAGGGGTTGCAGAAGCTGAAAATAAAAACATTTTTTCTTTACATAATGGAAGTAAAGTTTACCAAAATACCTTTTAGCTTCTCTGGCCTATTTTCTCCCAAGGCAAATCTGAGGCTTTTTTTTTTCCCCCAAGCAGAGATCATAAAACTTGACAGGGTTGCTGGAATTCATAGGGGACACATATGAGTAAAAAATTGGTTTCTTCAAAAAGTGGCCTTTCCATTGGGCTCAGTGATGTTTCTCCTGGTAAGGCTGGTGGCTCAAGTCCCCACCTCCACCTCCCCATGACAAGCTCTCTGTGAGCTTAGTGGCTGCTGTGAGCTTTTCCAGAGAAGTAGTCTATGTTCTGATCTTGTTACATTTGATGAATGAATATGTATGGTTACATCATCCCTGATTCCAGAGGGTAACAATGTATATACCATGGCCATTTCAGATATCTTTTCTTTTTTTTAAATAAGTTTCTGCCTTAACATGGTGCTTATGATTTTTTACTGCAATAGCCAATTCCATAAAAATATAGCCTTCTTCTTAAGTGCATATGAGATTGTCGTCCAAACAGAAATGAGGAGGACTTCAGAATCAGAGGAGAGAGTTGCCCCGCCAGCTTTTTTTCTTTTTTTAAAAAAATTTTGTCTATATGTCATTCAGTGATCTGCCTCTGAGTCTTACAGAGGGAGGTGGCTATGCACGGGGACTTTGTGTTTGCACTGTAGTTTCAGCCATAGTGCCTGCCAGAACATTCCCGTTGGTTCATGAGTGGGATGGAGGATTTGCAGAAACGGAAGTCATGACTGTAGGGGCACCTGTATAGAGAACAAGTTTCAGGGCCTCTATTTTGCAAAATGGGCTTGGCTAAGTCATTTCTATTGGACTCATTTCCATTTTTTCCAATTTAAAAATTGGTGATGATCTTTAAATTGTGTCCTGGATCTACCATTGCAAGGAAAGGATGGATGGTCCTCAGGGCCTCTGTGTGGGTACTGATGCTCCCTGTGCTTGGACCCAG